AGAGATTCGCAGTTTCCTTGGCTTGGCGGGTTACTACCGTCGCTTTGTGGAGGGATTTTCATCGATTGCTGCCCTTATGACTAGATTGACCCAGAAGGCTGCCCCTTTTCAGTGGACAGAGGAGTGTGAGGCGAGCTTTCAGAAGCTCAAGATAGCTTTGACTACAGCCCCAATCTTGATGCTGCCTATCGGTTCGGGGTCTTATACTTTCTATTGTGACGCCTCGAGAGTTGGCCTTGGAGCAGTGTTGATGCAGGACAGTAGGGTGATTGCCTACGCGTCCAGACAGTTGAAGATACATGAAAAGAATTACCCTGTCCACGACCTTGAGTTAGCTGCCATTGTTCATGCCTTGAAGATCTGGCGTCATTATCTATATGGAGTGCCTTGTGAGATCTATACTGATCAATGGAGTTTGCAGCACTTGCTCAAGCAAAAGGATCTCAATATGCGTCAGAGGAGGTGGTTAGAGCTGCTGAAGGATTATGACATCACTATCCTATATCACCCGGGCAAGGCCAATGTGGTGGCGGATGCCTTGAGTCGCCGGGCGGAGAGTTTGGGGAGTTTGGCATACCTACCGGCTTCAGAGAGGCCTATGGCGATGGATGTTCAGGCCTTAGCCAGCCAGTTCGTGAGATTGGATCTTTCAGAGCCCGGCCGGGTCCTAGCTTGTGTGGTTTCCCGGTCTTCATTATTTGATCGCATCAGAGAGCAGCAGTATGAGGACCCTCATTTACTTGTCCTCAGGGACAAGGTTCAACGTGGAGATGCCTGGGATGTGACCATTGGAGATGATGGAGCATTGAGGATGCAGGGCCGGATTTGTGTGCCCAATGTTGATGGTCTTCGAGAGATGATTCTAGCAGAGGACCGTAGTTCGCGGTATTCCATCCATCCGGGTGCCGCGAAGATGTATCAGGATCTGAGGCAGCACTACTGGTGGAGGCGGATGAAGAAGGATATAGTTGGTTATGTGTCTAGATGCCTCAACTGCCAGCAGGTGAAGTATGAGCACCAGCGCCCGGGTGGGTTGCTCCACCAGATAGAGATTCCGGAGTGGAAATGGGAGCGCATCACCATGGATTTTGTATCTGGACTTCCACGGACCTTGAAGAAGTTTGATTCCATTTGGGTTATTGTGGACCGGCTGACCAAGTCCGCTCATTTCATTCCTGTATGTACCACTTATTCATCGGAGCGGTTGGCGGAGATTTATATCCGGGAGACCGTCCGTCTGCATGGTATTCCAGTTTCTATCATTTCGGACAGAGGTACTCAGTTTACATCGCGGTTCTGGAGAGCCATGCAGCAAGAGTTAGGCGCTCGGGTGGAGTTGAGCACAGCATTTCACCCCCAGATGGACGGACAGTCCGAGCGCACTATTCAGATTCTTGAGGATATGCTCCGTGCGTGTGTGATTGAGCTTGGAGGCTCTTGGGATCATTTCTTGCCATTGGCGGAGTTTGCTTATAACAACAATTATCAGTCCAGCATTCAGATGGCGCCGTATGAGGCTTTATATGGTAGGAGGTGTAGATCTCCGGTGGGTTGGTTTGAGCCAGGTGAGGCCAGGCTATTGGGTACAGAGATGGTTCAGGATGCATTGGAGAAGGTCAAGGTGATTCAGGACAGACTCCGTATAGCCCAGTCTAGACAGAAGAGTTACGCGGACAGGAAGGTTCGTGATGTTTCATATATGGTTGGTGAGCGGGTTCTGCTTCGGGTCTCGCCTATGAAAGGCGTTATGAGGTTTTGGAAGAAAGGGAAGCTGAGACCGAGGTTTATTGGCCCTTTTAAGATCTTGAGGCGAGTTGGGGAGGTTGCCTACGAGCTTGCCTTACCTCCCAGCTTGGCTGGAGTTCATCCGGTATTTCATGTTTCGATGCTCCGGAGGTATCACGGTGATCCGTCGCACGTGTTGGATTTCAGTTCAGTCCAGTTAGACAAGGATCTATCCTATGTTGAGGAGCCAGTGGCTATATTGGACAGGCAGGTCAGAAAATTAAGGTCAAAGGACATAACTTCAGTGAAGGTTCAGTGGCGGGGTCAGCCGGCCGAGGAGGCGACTTGGGAGACCAAGCAGAATATGCGCAGCAGTTACCCTCATCTTTTCACTACTTCAGGTATGTTCTCTATGCTCGTTCGAGGACGAACGAATGTTTAAGTGTAGGAGGATATGACGACCCGGCCGGTCGTCTTAAGAATTTACGCCCCGATCCCCCATTAACTGCTTCCCCCTAAGTTCATTTCTGCTATTTTGGTTTGTCGGGACATTCGGTGTTGAGTTTTGGGACACTTAGTCCCTAAATGAGAGCTTAAGTATTAAAAAATGGTCCGTAGTTGGAACAGCATAAAGACGATCTCGGAATGGAAATCCGACGGTTCCGTTAGCTCCGTTAGGTGATTTCGGGGTTGGGAGCATGTTTGGAATGTATTTTGGAAGTCCGTAGCTCATTTAGTCTTGAAATGCCGAAGTTTGAATTTTTGGAGTTTCCGGTCCGATAGTGAGTTTTTGATCCGAGGTTCGGATTGGAATTCCGGAAGTTACAGTAGTTCCGTCGTGTCATTTGGGATGTGTGTGCAAAATTTCAGGTCATTCGGACGAGGTTCGGGTAGGTTTTTGATCGAAAGCGTGTATTGTTGGAAATTGAAGTTATTAGGCTTGAATCTTTGATTAATTCAGGTTTCCGGCGTTGTTTTAGGTGTTTTCAAGATTAGTAAAAGTTTGAATAAGATATTAGGTGGTATTGGTGCTTTTGGTTGAGCTCCCGGGGGCCTCGGGATGATTCCGGGTGGTTAACGGAGGAAATTTCTAAGTTTGCAGCAGCTGGTATTTTGTTCCTTCTGGTATTTTCGCTTCTGCGGCTTGGGGACTGCAGAAGCGGCTTTCTCATCGCAGAAGCGAGATTGGTCTTCCCCTCAGGAACCGCAGAAGCGGTTATTTATCCGCAGAAGTGGAATCTGTCCTTTTAAATGAAACTGCAGAAGCGGTAATGAATCCGCATAAGTGGCAACCGTAGGTGCGGTTTAAGACCACAAAAGCGGAAATCTGACTTTAATGAAGAACCGCAGAAGCGGCTCGTGGTCCGCAGAAGCGGGACCGCAGAAGCGGTCCCTTGACCGCAAAAGCGAAAATCTCTGGGGTGAAATATCAGATTCGAGGGTTAGTTTCAAAAGTTGGAGAAATCAATTGAGAGCTCGGGTAAGGGCGATTTTCAAAGGGTTTTGAAGAGAAAACTATTGGGTAACGTTTCCTTAATCCCTTCTAGTTATATTTCATCATTATATAGTTAAATGCATCATTGGATCAAAAATTGGATAATTTGGGGTAAAACTTCATTGGCTAAATTATTGAGTTTTGAGTGAGCATTTGACCTCCGATTTGGGAGATTTTTATATGGTTAGACTCGTGAGAGTACAAGGGTTCTGAAAATGTGAAAATTATTCGATTCCGGGGCGTTGGCCTGAAGGGCATTTTGGTTATTTCACCTAATTTTACGCCGTAGCTTTGAATTTATTAGCAAAACCAGGTGTTTGCGATGTTATTTATAATGTGTAATTGAATTGAATAGATTTGAGCCATTTGGAGTCGGATACTCGTGGCAAGAGCGTGGCTTCTAGTTGATATTGAGCCGGTTCGAGGTAAGTGGCTTGTCTAATCTTGTGTGGGGGACCTTTCCCCTTAGGATATGATCTTTGAATATTTGAATGCCTCGTACGTAAGGTGACGAGCGCGTACTTGAGCTAATTGTTGTAAACCCGTTTCTACTTGAAGTATAGATTTCTTGTTTACTTGTTCATTTTAACTGTAAGTTTATACCTGTGCTAGCTTAGAGACTCATGTTTAGCTGGCTTACTTGCTTATTTGTTTTAGCTGTGCTATTTGTACTCTGTGAAGCATGTTAGGCTATAATTTACTACTTCTTGTCATGATTTTTAGCATTGTTCCGAGATTTTTGAATTGTTGTTGTTGTGTGTTTAATTTGGGACTACGAGACGGCTTCCCGGGAGATCCCCCTGTACTTGAGATATTCTGGACTGAGGGTGCGGGATACCAAGAGATCCCTGGCACATGTGATTCTATATATATATTGGGATACCAAGAGATCCCCGATTACTTATTGAGGATACCAAGAGATACTCGGGATACCGAGAGATCCCTCCGTTGATGATGAGGATACCAAGCGATCCTCGGGATACCAAGAGATCCCCGGCTACTATTCCTTGTTGATGGCAGTTTTCCTTGTATTGTTACCTTTGCTTTCTATTGCCGTCTATCCTTATTTACCTGGTTTAGATTCTCGCTGTGGACTTTATTTAAACTGTTTCTGTTATCTTATTATTTATTATGTTATCTCAGTAGGGCCCTGACCTTCCTCGTCACTACCCAACCGAGGTTAGGCTTGGCACTTACTGAGTACCGCTGTGGTGTACTCATGCCCTTCCTGCGCATGTCTTTCATGTGCAGATTCAGGTACTTCCTCCCAGGCGTATCATCCTCGTGGTGGAGAGTCCTAGCTGAGACTTGAGGTATATCTGCTACGTCCGCAGACCAGGAGTCTCTACTCTATTCCGGCTTTAGCAGATAGTTTCCTTTTTTTTCCTTTTCATGTTGTTTAGACATTCTGGTGTAGAGCTGATTACTATACTCTATTAGCCTGTGTTTTCCCGTGAGTTTCCGGGTTTTGGGTTTTAGTTGTAGACTTCCACATATTTTTTTTGAGTTGTATAGGCCGAGTGGCCTTATATACAGTTTTTATTTCCGTATGTTCAGTTTTAATTAATTATTCCGCACTGTTAGGCTTAGCTAGTTGTAGGAACTAGGTATCATCACGACATGTTCATGGAGGGTGAACTGGGGTCGTGACATTGCTGAAATAGTTTCTTAGGACAGTGCCTAGCACGACTCAAGCCAATTCGTGTGTATGCTTACAAATAATATTATTGCAGTATTATTATTGAAATTCTTGCTCTCAATTACTACAATCTAAGAAACTATGGCAAATAAAACTGATGCTGAAAATACTACTGATACCGCCAATGTTGGCGTTACGTCCGCTGCTCCAGCCCCAGTTGCACTACCATATGCCAGGCCATTTCCAGATGTGTCAAATATTGAAATTTTTGCCAATGAAAATTTCAAGCGTCGGCAAGAACGTATTTTCTCACTGATTGATGTCCATGGTGTTGCACATGCACTGCTGCATCCACAACCTAGTGCAGACGCTGATAATAAAATAGTGGAGTCATGGCAACACGCCAACAAGGTATGCCGTCATACCATATTGCAAACTATTTCTAATGAACTGTTTGACGTGTATTGCAGTTATAAAGAAGCAAAAGCTATATGGGAAGCCTTAATTAAAAAATTCACTGTTGAAGATGCTACAAAACAAAAATTTGTAGTAGAAAATTTTTATCAATGGCAGATGAGAGATGATAAAGAGATGAACGTACAAATCAATGAATTTCAAAAATTGTTAGAAGACTTAAAGGCCGAGGGAATGTCTTTACCAGAGAAGTTTGCTGCTGGAGTGCTAATTGAGAAGCTGCCTGACTCATGGAGTGACTACAAAAAAAACTTAAAGCACAAACAAAAATATTTCACCATTGAGGAAATTGTGACCCACATCCTAATTGAAGATTCCAACAGAAAAGAATCTGTCAAAGCTAGGATGACAGCTCTTAAAGCAAACTTAGTGCAAAGCAGCAACAACAATCGCAAAAGGTACGAGAATAAGTCTCAAGGTTGCAAGCCTAAAAATCCTAACCTTAAAAGAAAAAAAGGCTCTTATTTTGTTTGTGGAAAATCGGGCCATCATGCCTCACAGTGCAAGTACAAAGCAGGAAATGACAAAGGAAAAACTAATACTCCTAAGGCTAACTTAGCCGAAGGAGGTGATATTATTGCAGCTGTCATTTCTCAAGTAAACATTGTAGCACATGCAAAAGAATTGGTGATAGACTCTGGGGCTACTCGGCACATTTGTGCAAATTGAGAAGCATTTTTCTCTTATACTCCTGTAGAGGATGATAGAGAAGAGGTCTACCTTGGAGAGTCAAGTACTACCAAAGTCTTGGGTAAGGGTAAAGTTCTCCTGAAACTCACTTCGGAAAAAACTTTAGCTCTTGTTGATGTACTGCATGTTCCTACTATGAGGGCAAACTTGATCTCTATATCCTTGTTGGGAAGAGCCGAAGTGAAAGTGTCATTTGAATCTGATAAGATCATAATGACCAAAAATAATGTGTTTGTGGGAAAGGGCTATTGTAACCAAGGACTCTTTGTACTTAATATTTCTGATGTTATCAATGGAAATGTATCTACTTCTGCTTATATGGTTGAGTCTATTTCTCTATGTCATGCTAGACTAGGACATGTTAATGTCACATATATAAAGAAAATGCAGTCACTTGGATTAATATCTGGTTTAGACTCAAATAATATTAACAAGTGTGAAAGATGTGCTGAAGCTAAAAGTACTAGAGACATGTTTTTCCGTAAATAAAGAAACTGAATTGTTATCTTTAATTCACACTGATTTAGGCGACTTGAAGCAGACTATGACTAGAGGTGGTAAAAGATATTATATGACTTTTATTGATGATTTTTCTAGATATACTAAGTTGTATTTGCTTAGAAATAAAGATGATGCATTTAATGCTTTTATTTCTTATAAAACTGAGGTTGAAATAGAGGTGGAGAATATTTATCTTTAAATGAATTTTGTGAAAATAATAGAATTATTCATGAAGTAACTCCGCCTTATTCACCCGAGTCAAACGGAGTAGCTGAAAGAAAAAATAGAACATTGAAAGAGATGATGAACTCTATGTTAGTTAGTTCTAACGCTCCTGATAATTTGTGGGGTGAAGCTATTTTATCTGCATGTCACCTACAAAAATAGAATACCACATAGAAGAACAGGAAAAACTCCTTATGAATTGTGGAAGGGTTACAAACCTAATTTAAAATATTTAAAAGTGTGGGGGTGCCTTGCTAAAGTTCTTTTGCCTGAACCTAAAAAGAGAAAAATAAGTTCTAAAACTGCTGATTGCATGCTTATTGGATATGCTGAATATAGTGTTGCATATAGATTTCTTGTTTTAAAAAGTGATGTGCTTGATTGCAATACTACAATTGAGACAAAGAATGCAGAATTCTTTGAACATATTTTTCCACTATCTGATAAAATTTCTCATATACCTGTTGAAACAAATAGTGAAATTACCTCTAATGAGGAATTGAGAAGGAGTAAAAGGCCTAGGAAAGAATATTTTTCATATGGAAATAATTTTCAAACATTTCTTGTCAATAATGAACCATCAATTTATTTTGAAGCTATATCTTCTTCAGATGCTAAATATTGGAAAGAGGCAATAAAAGTTGAAATTGATTCTATTAAGAAAATAATACATGGTTTTAACTAAATTACCTCCTGATGCAAAGCCTATTGGTTGTAAATGGATTTTCAAAAGGAAATTTAATCCTGATGGATCTTTAGATAAATATAAAACTCGGTTAGTAGCAAAAGGATTTTCTCAAAAATAAAATATAGACTATTTTGATACATTTGCACCAGTGATTAGAATTTCTTCTATTCGAGTTTTAATTGCCTTAGCTTCAATCCATAAGCTTTTTATCCACCAAATGGATGTGAAAACTGCTTTTCTAAATGGTGATTTAGAAGAAGAGATTTATATGGTTCAACCTGAAGGCTGTGTCATTCCTGGACAAGAAAATAAAGTTTGTAAATTAATTAAATCTCTTTATGGCCTTAAACAAGCTCCTAAGCAGTGGTATGAGAAATTTGAACAAGTCTTACTGAGAGACGGTTTTTCTTCAGTTGAGGTGGATAAATGTGTTTATACTAAAGTGGTAGACAATGATTACGTGATAATATGTCTAATGTTGATGACATGCTTATATTTGGTACAAGTTTAAATATTGTGCAAAGTACTAAATTATTTTTGTCTTCTAATTTTGATATGAAAGATCTGGGTGAAGTAAATATGATATTAGGAGTTAAAGTTATAAGGAGTAAAAATGGCATAATGTTGTCACAAGAACATTATGTTGAGAGACATCTTAAGAAGTTTGAATATTTTAATGTCACATCTGCGAGCACTCCTTTTGATGCTAACTCTCAGTTGAAAAAGAATAGTGGTGACCCAGTTGCTCAGTCTAAATATGCTCAGATTATTGGGGTCTGATGCATTTAATGAATTTTACAAGGCCTGATATAGCCTATGCAGTGTGTAGACTGAGTAGATATACTCATAACCCCAACAGAGAGCATTGATCAGCATTAGATAGACTAATGAAATATTTGAGAGGAACCATGAATTATGGTATCCTATATAGTGGATTTCCTTCTATTTTAGAAGGGTACAGTGATGCAAACTGGATTTCTGATTCAGATGAGACAAAATCCACTAGTGGTTATGTATTCACCTTTGGTGGTGGTGCAACATCGTGGAAATCAGCTAAACAGACGATCATTGCTAGATCGACCATGGAATCAGAGTTTGTAGCTCTGGAATTAGGTGGTTATGAGGCTGAGTGTCCAAGAAACTTCTTAGCTATTATCCCTTTAATAAAGGACGTATTGCCTCTTGTGTCTATACATTGTGATTGCCAGGCGGCAATAGCCATAGAAAAGAATAAATCTTATAATTGTAAAAGTAGACACATGAAATTGAGACATGATGTCATAAAGCAGCTACTGAGAGATGGAATAATTTCCATTGATTATGTGAAGTCAGAAGTTAATTTGGCCGATCCTCTGACTAAACCTGTGGGAAGAAAATTAATTCTTCAAACCTCAAAAGAGATGGGGTTAAGGCCGACATGTTGTCAATAGATATGGTAACCCAACCTATGTGATTGGAGATCCCATGAAGTAGGTTCATATGGGTAATAACAAGTTGATATTGGCACTGAAGTACTAAAAGAGAGTGCTTGACTGCTACTAATTGAGAGGCTGAGTTATAACTCTTAATGAAATTCATAGTCCTTATGGATGGTGTATTTAAAAGCAGTATATACTTGATGAATTCACCTATATGAGAGTGGAGTGGGTCGCTCCTATGAGATTTTGGCCTAGTCTCTAGAGCTCTCAAGAATAATCAGGCACGCGCATGGCCTATTGGGCACAAAACCGCGTTGAACAGCAAAATTACCGGGGGTCAAAATGTGATTGATAAAATCTCTGACTTACAATAAGAATTATTGGTTCATAGAAATATTATATTTCACCAATAATTCTGTGAGTTAAATTTTATTGGTCTAAGTTTGGTTCATAGTCCAGAAGACACCAAACCTATTACATTTGGACCATGCAAATCCAGCAAGTCTATTTCGAAAAGTCTTTAAAATAATGGGGGACCGTGGCAATATTTTAAACCTTTGTTGACAAATGTCTTGAAGAAGACCATGTGGAAGCCTTCTAAAAGAGATAAAGGGAAAGATGCATGCAAGAGAATTGTCAAATGTCAAGAGAATTGACAAATGGAAAGAAACTTGACAAATGGCAAGAAAAGCCTTAAGCTTTTTTGCCTATAAAATGGTCTTCCCTTAAGCCAATTTCAATCATCAAACATCCTTCTCATACGTCTCTCTCTTCTTCCTTCCAATTCTTTTTTTATAATATTTAATTAACATTACACATTAGTTGTTCTTCCTTTTTTCCTACTAGCTGGATTTGTGTAATATTTAATTTTGCTGATTCTTGTATCCTCTATCTAAATAGAGATGGGCTTGTTTAATCCTGCGGAAATATTTCACATTGCTGAAATAGATTCTTAGGACAGTGCTTAGCACGACTCAAGCCAATTCGTGTGTATGCTTACAAATAATATTATTGCAGTATTATTATTGTTATTTTTCGGTGTCATTTCCCTACAGTACAATAACATACCAAGTGTGTTTTCACAAGTGGGATCAGAGGAAAGTGGGTGGTGTACGCAATCCTTATGTTCGCGAGAGATGCTATTTTCAATAGACCCTCACCTAACAGAAGTAAAGTATTAAAAGAATAATTTCAGAGGTTAAAGAAATGATGAAAAATAATCAATTAAGACCCGATACTAGTAAAAGAAGAATTACACTAGAAGCATGGAGACAAAAAAATTTACACAAATAAGTTACTTATAAAAGGGTAAATAATTTACTATCACGGGTTAAATTACACTGTAATGCAGAAAAACCTTCACATGTTCGTAAAACAAATCACAGGTATCATCAAGTAGTCACCACAGTTTCAATACTACGAGTCAAAATTACATTTACATAATGAAACCAGAGCCATATATCAAGTAAGAACTGCCAATTATTTTGCTAATCCACACACAGACACACCAGAGAATACAACTTACGTTTACTGTAAACCATGTTAGTTAAATTACAAAGCTGCATTGCAACATTAAAGATGATCATCATTTTACCTACAAGATGTGCATTTGGAAATATATCTCCATTGACCTTATATTTCTCGAGCAAATGACTTCCTATGACTAGCTACAATTTGAATAAAAAAAATATAACTCTATGAAGATGCTTTTTTTTTAATCTATTTATGGATTCCTATTGGAGTATTATTTTTACCAATCTTCTATGAAAACGGTAGCACCAAAAAAGATCAGAAAATCGATCTCTTATATTTTCTCTTGTAGTGTTATTATAAGTGACCACTAAGCTACCTCGAGGGTATAAAAATATTTCCTACTTCGAGAGATGGTACTCGAGAGTATAATAAACATTTGGACAATATTTGGTTGAAATTAAAATTAAAAAAAATTACTATTTGAAGTCGAAGTTGAAAAGCAATGTTTGAGAGCTAAGCCAATGAAATTGAACAAGGATTCCTTAGATTACACCGTACTAGAACTTAGATCTAATTATATATACAGTCTAGCTCGCTAGTGATAATGTATGATTTGTGCTTATACCGTACGATTTTAGAACGCGTCATTAGAGTCTAAGACTTATTTACTTACT